GTTTACTTGAGCCTATTATCAGAAGCGTGAGAGAAGGGGAGGGAGGGGGGCTAACATCGGCTGTCGAACTGACCAAATGAGTTTTACATTCCTGTCATCCCTTCGTGCCAGAAGCTTGAGGATACCAAATGGCGCAATAAATCCAATAAATAGACCTCTGAATCGAAGTGTTTGAGTTTGCGTCTTAGCTTCAATATCGCTTTCTTTTCCATACAGGTCACTTAGTAAGGACTGCCGCCTTTTTGCGTGGCGCTACCGGGTTATCGTTGGGCCTCAAGCCCAAGGCCTAGCGATTATGGCCAAGCCTTCAGCTTCATCTAAGAAGCTACCAATCAATTAATAAGAAGCACGGAGAATTAATAAGCCGGCTCATCTGTACGAATGGTGGGACCATAATATTATATTTCGTTTTCATCGTCATACTACGACCCCTTCGGTTTTATTGAAGACAACGTCAGTTTTGTTCTCGAATTAGGCAGACACAGCTTGCACTGAGAACGGAACTCGGTTCGCCATGGAACGTTCAACGTCGTAGCCGAAGGCAAACGTTATCCGGCAGTTTCCGGAGTTGTTGGTCCACGATCAGTGCCAGTCGGACCGTCGGAATGATGCGCCACTGGTCCGACTTTTTACCTCGTTTTACCTTTTCGTTCAATGCATCGACTCCGAGCTAAGCATGCTCTGCATGTACACGTATCCCCCTCCCATGCTAGTCTTTACTGAAACTTCGTCCCCGATCGTTCGGCCTCGTCGGCAATGCGGCGTCAAACTGTTTCCTTCGTATTATTGGCGCGGTCTTCAGAGAAATACCGGTGAGCCTCCATGGTGCAGAATCAATCTCCATGAAGGTACGTTTATCAGACTGCTGGACAGTGAAGAAGTCTTGTAATTCCCATTTATCATCGTATTGGTATCGTCCGTCCCTTCCGCATATATAAATTCCAATTTTCATTCTTCCTAGGCGATTGATACCTGAGGTTCTCTGAACTCCGACTCGGAGAGACGTCCACTAACGTCCATCAACATTCAACCCTAGAATTCTTGAATAACGATATGCTTGTTTCGCATTCGAAAGCGAAGATTCTATATTTGCTACTGTTCGTTTGAAGAAACGCGTTATAGCATCAGCCACGCGAATACATCGTCGGCCCCATTATCATGGCGGAGCGAAGATGACGGCGCTGGTACTGCTAATTCTTCCTTTTTAATGATAGTCAAAGCAAGAAATTATCTTCTGTGCGGCGCCTTACCTTTTTACGTTACGACGAAGTCGTGGGGCCGGATGGTACAAATTCCTAGGCCCTAGGTTGTTTTGTCAGCATCTTTCTTTCGGCGAGACTGGCCTCCGTCATATACCATGTCATCGAAGGCAATTGAACTTGTATATCGTCGCGGTTTATCGATATGCGAACATGCTTTTGGTACACGCTGTCGAAATAGCACAAGCTGCCGTTAGACATTACAGCGTCGTGTCAACTCCTATTCAACTCAGGAGGTCTGGGTTGGCAGCGAGGGTGAAGGCCTGTGAAGGTCTTACGAGAAATATGATAGGATCGAGGTAAATATAAAGTTGATTTACCACATAAGGTACCCGTCCCTAATTGTGGTGGGAAATCTCTCCATGTCCAGCGATGTAATCGGATCCATATGCAGGGCAGCTCCCGCTCGAATTGATGAGGAGCTGGGTTCCAACCCCATCTGAATGATGATGCCGGAAAGTTTCCGAAACTCGTAGACGGTTTTAGAAAAATGTATTGTATGTTCTGTAGCCTCGTGAGTCGTTTCGGTAGGTGAATAATCGGCGAAGAAAGAGATAAGAGCATAATCATCATCATGGTACCACTAGGTCCCCGTCCACCAAGGCGCCCAAGGTGGGCAAAAAGAACCTTCTAATATCAGAGTTGTATCAGAAGTTTAGTCGTGGCTCCATGTGTGCAGGCGCTCAGTCTCCAAAAATGATCTAGCATTTGGCTTGGGGAGGGGGGGGAGGGGGAAATAGAGGCTCGTTAGCCAGAACTTAAGCAGGCTAGGAAGCACAGAGGGAACCGGGAGCATTCAGAATTCTTAAGAGCTATGCATGGGGGGACCGGAAGTATACGAAAACGGATAGCCACATGAGGGTGATTATCTAAGTCCTTTCGGGGTAAACGCCGCGTGGTGACCGCAGACGTGGGAAAATCTATCGGCCCCAAAACTCCCGATTCCCTTCTTCGTAGCGAACCACCACCGCGTCCCCCCGCATACAGCGAGCTCGTCGTCCTCCATAGCGAGCACAGCGTCCAGAACAACCTGATTCTACCTCTTTTGTAGCGAGCTCGTCGCTACAGGCCGCCGCAAGCGTTTCTGTTTCCCGTATGTTCCCTCTTCTACCACGGTGTTCGTGCTGATTCTCTCACGTAGCGTCTCCGTTGTATCCAGCAGCGTCCTTGCCTTTCTCTGTGCGATTTCTGCTTCTCTCCAACCAACTTTTCCTGTCGTAGGCCACCAGTTCAGCGTCCGATATCCCGTCGTCACCGTATGTCGCTCTTTATCTCTACCACTTTTCCGTGTTGATTGACAACATCGAGCAGCGATTTCTCGTTTTCTTCTCATATCACATCTGTATCAGCCTCAACAAGATATCAGACACCCTCCTTCCGAGCAGTGATCCCATCTTTCATCTTTCATCTGTCATCTCCTAGTAAGGAACACTTTCCCTTCAGATCTGGTCCTTTTCTCACTCTGCCGTTGCAGCAGCTACAATGTCTTCCTTGGGTTTTGTCTTGCGTGGCGCCGTACAGCGGAAAAAACAACACAAGCCTTCAGCTCTCCAACCAATCGAATGCCTCGTAACTCGTACGACACCACGCCCCGAACTTCCGCCGGAACTTTGGATGCTTGTCATCCGATTTGCGACTTGTTCGTACCCTGACCCCCTCGACACTTCACGACCTGTTTCATTTTTGGATCCCCCTCATGTCACTCAGTTGCGACTAGCTACATACTACGCAACAATGCAACAAAAACTAGCTCTATGCAGGGTCAGCAAGCAGTGGAACGAGTGGGCGACCGAGTTCCTGTACGAGTTCGTCTGGGTCAATCGTGCCGGCCACGCCCGACTCCTCGCTCGTACCTTGGAAACGCCAGAGGGCAAGGGTCACGGTCGTTGGATCAGGAGACTTCACATCCAGATCACGACATTGGACAAGTGTAACCCGTCGCATCTCCGTACTATCCTCGATGCGTCCCCCGATCTTGCCATCTACTCTGACCATCGATCCATTCGCCTCACTCTCTTTTCCGTCAACTCTCCTCTGGAGGAGACATGCACCCCCGACGACCTCTTCCAATCATTACCAACCAACCTTCGTCGTCTATCATGGACCTCTTACGAAGCTTCTCCGACCCCCACCATGCCCCTCTTTTCTGTTCTACACAATCTCACTTTCCTCGAGTTGCACTTCCATGCTCCTATGCGTTCCTCGTTTGCTGTATCCTCGCCACCTCTTGTGTCTCCCACCCAGATGTTCAATCTTCCCCAGCTACAGACGCTAAAAACATCCCTCTGCTCGAACACTTTCGAGCTTCTTTCCACCTGGACCCTTCCGTCGCTCTGCAATCTCTCGCTAATCTCATCTGACTTCAGTTACTCCTCCCCCGGCTTCCTTGCCTTCTTCTCTGCACATGGCGCCAAGATCAACCAGCTTGAACTTGGTCATCCCTCGTCTAACATTCTTGAAGAGCACTACATCACCCCCACCCGTCTAGTCATAGGACGGCCAAGTCTCGCATCCCTCCTCCCGAACATGACCGAATTCATCTGCTCTGCAAATGCTGAGTGGAATTGGGAGAGCCCAGACTGGATTGCGCCACATGTGCTCCTTCCGTCTCATCCGCGGCTGCAGCTTATCGGGGTCCGTGACATCGGGAGAGGCGATTGGTTGCTGATTGAGCAGATGCGGAGCCTACTCAACCGTGATGCGTTTCCCTCCCTGCGATATGTCAGGGACATGGGACCGGGGTTGCTCAAGGTTCGGAAGGGGCTCGAACCTGACGTCGGCATGATGTTGTTCTGGCGAGAAGTCTGGGATAGCTGTGGAGGTCGAGGTGTGTGGTTGGAAGATCTCGAAGGTGTCAATTTCGTTGCGAGGGATTGGAAGAGATTGGGCTTCGATGTCCCACCACCTCCAGATGCTGTTTAGTCGCTCATGTACGTTCTTTGTTTTCGCTGTCGTTATCGTGTTTTCTTGTGCGCCCACCTATTTATTTGTGGACATTCTTTTGTATACAGGTTTCCTTCGTTTCCATTCACAGCACTCACTGTATATACCGGCGCAAAAAATACCAATTTGCATGTTTGCTTTCTCTTGTGTCTGAACGAAGCGAGGGGTTGTTCATTTGTGTATGTATTTTGGGCGATGTTACCCTGTTCTCCGCAGGACCACCAAAAAGTCCTCCCATTTTCAGGGAACATTCTACGGACTTGGCGTTGCCTCGCCTGAAGCGAATCCTTAAGTGCTCATATTACATTGGGATATTGTCGTCGTTGGACAATTCTTGGATTGGGTAGCCTTGTTTCGGGTCTAAAGGGTTCAGGCAGCGCTCCCCTCTAGGTTCGTTCATTGGTTTCTTCGATCTTGGTTCGTGCTGCCAGACTCGGATCGTACGAAGCCACAGTGGTGAGCACGCTAGCCAATTCTGGTACTTCTATTCCAAACATCGGTCAAGATCAACGTAGAGAAGTTCAATGTGACGGCATGACTGTCGCCCTGCCTTCACAAATTTGCTTGGTACGATCTTGGTCACTCGATCGCTTCTCTTCGCAGACTACATTTCATTTATGATCGATCGGTCCATGAACATAAAGGTAATTGAGAAGGGCTTGCCGTTCAGAATCGAGTCAATATCTGAAAACTCTTGGACCATGGACAAATAAAAACTCAAGAGTCGATGACACTTGAAAGATATCTCGATTCTCGTCGCTCGTCGCTCGAACAAAGTGCAAAAAAAGACATGACAATAGCCCACCGCGAGGGTCGAACTCGCAGCCTTCAGATAAATTCGCGTAGATAAAAGTCTGACGCTCTATCCGATTGAGCTAGGCGGGCTACAAGTGAGATCGCGGCATGTATCGTTACAGCGTGAATACGGAGGCCAACATTGCCCTCAGGGGTTCCATTCGGACTTTGAACTCCTTTCTCGGCATTGTCAGCAACAACAGTCTTTGAGTTCCAAAACTGTATTCCACATCAGCTAAGCATATGTGCATCCTCAAAGTGTGACTCTCTTGCTCGATGCTCTCAATTACACTGCATCCTTCTTGTCTGTGAAATAATATTCGAAATCACTGGGTCCAATACCTTCAAGTTCCCTTAAGAGGGATTGGTCCAGTGTTGCTACCTGAAGAACCAGGGTTTTTTGGAGATGTGCTCTCCTGGTCCATTTCTCATATGGCATTCACAAGTCGACAAAACCTATTTATTCTTGCATCCAACCCAGGCAGTGTCATTTTCATCATCCATGTCAGATACTTGTTCATATTTCATACAGAGGGTCTGTGATGAATATCTGAACATGATATTTGTTGAGTCTTGTATTCATGGTTAAGCTTGTGTTATAATTTGGCGGTACCAACCTCAACTGAAAACATGGGGATGTATACTTCATTTTTATCGTCCCCTTGACCAAACTTTGTCAGCCCATTTGTCGATTCATTGTTTATCATGAAACTTGTCATCACTACCAGTCCCAAAACACAGCACCTAGAAATACACTCACCATAATGTCTTCGTCATGGTGCTCTTTATATACATCCTAGCAACAGCGCATCTCATCTTCCATTGTAACCTCACTTGTTAAGCAAGGGCCATGCACTGAACCAAAGGAAAGAGATGGATAATATACATAAAGAGCACCGGCATGAATGGCATCAGGAAGAAGATGATCCATCCGATGAGAAAAAATGACAACAATGACAACATAGCGGAGCCATACGGAGCTGCCAGAACATTCATCGCTGGCGACAGCGTTCAACACTCCATTGAGGGCATCTCTTGTTATTCCCATCTATGGTGATGCACAGCTGACCATGATGGTCACTGTTCGCCACTGTCATGTATCCAGTTCTGATGGGTCATATACGAAATATGTACGTGAATACATCACGTCAACCTTGCTGACCGCCCTCAGTAAACCATGCCATTGTCATGTCCTGCTGCCACCACAAACAGAAAGCGATAGCACGACAGTGGTACATTCACTGTTATGGCCAAGCCAAGTCAAGAGGGAGATGGAGCTTGACTTTGCTCATGGTCTGTTGAGGGTATGCGTTCTTGGTTGTGAAGGCTGTGTGAGCAATGCAGTAACCAACCCACCTCTTTCACCACTGACTAACTGTCCACCCAAAGCTTCCATGGCCAGTAGTCATCCAGAGTTAGGGCCATCATGAGTCAGTCACAGTCCCTGATGTTGCCAATACCCTCTGGTATGCTCTATATATACTCATTCCATTTTGAATGTCATCATTGTCATCGCTTCTTGAAGGTCAGGAGGATGCGACTTTCGCTGATCATCAATGTATATCAGGCTAGGTGCAGCAAGATGGTTCACCAGCCCAGACTGGCATATTTGAGGGGAAAAACACTGGTTTACAGAACTCCGTACCATTGAGAGCAACACCTGGAGCTGTTTGTTGCATAGGGCATGCCGGTCGCGCCTATCTAGCTGTCAGGACATTGATTTGGAGGTTTTGATATTCTGTACGATAAAGTTTGCATCAGCTATGCTCAACAGACAAGGTCAGGAAGCTACCTCCTGAAAGAACTGGCTGTAAGGTGGGAGTGCCAGCATGATAGGGCGGTGGCCATTGACGTTGTGAGTGGTACTGCATTGAATGGCCCTTAACCCTAGGAACAGTAGGGTTAGAGCTGCATCTTGCGCTCCAGTCGCTGCAATCCACCTCATCTAACGTGAAGGCAGCTTGAGGCGAAAGGATTTCTGCACATCACTCATGCAGGCATCAATATTCTTCCCTTGTATCAGCTGAGAGTCACCATTGTGCGAAGCACTTTTCCCCATGAATACTGTCCTAGTCTGGAGAGCGACCACCCAAATCCATCCTTCTTGCAGCAAAACAAGGAAATGTGCATATCTGATGTCACAGTTGCAACCACTGTGCCATCTTGTCTGAATCTGATCTTGATCCCATTGGAGCCAACGAATACTCTGCTGAAAATCTTTCCTTATCTATTGAGATATGTCAGCCTGTTATGAAAGAAAGGTGGGAAATACTTACACAACATTGAATTGAAAAAAGATCATTCTGCTACTGTACACAGCTGATATCATTGAGAGAGCTGGTATCCCAATTGAATGGTGCTTGGACCATGTCTTTGATATGACTTCCTGGAGGGTCACCTTGCCAATGCAGCCTCCTTCCTGATCCAACCAGCACTCTTCAAGCAAACGAACAATTGGAGCAACAAACAAAAACTGAAAATTGCTGATGATGTATTTGTGGTATTGCTCCCAGCCTACTGATTGAAGCCATCATCACAGCTATCTTGTGGCTGAGTATCAGGAAGCTCCAGGCCCATACAATGAGATTGGATTCAGAGGGAAGGACAAGGTGATGAATGAGATTCCCATGCTCAAGAAGCAAGTAAAGAAAGAGATGAGGGGGCCAGTCTGCTACCTGACATTGCTTGCACAATAGATATACAGATGCCTCTGCCTGTAAATCGAGCATCGGGACTGGAGGCGGGTCAAGGTGTGTGGTGGAGAACATGGGCCAAGCAAACATCTCAACCGTTCTCCTGATATAATGGTCCCACCCTCTAGGCACCTGAAGCTGAAGGCTAATGGATGTCCAGTGATAACAACTGCAAAAAACGAGCATCTTGTGCATCTGGAAAGCACCTTGAGTAGGCTACAAGATCACCGACATCAGAACTGGAGGACTTTGAAACAACGCCCCCAACTCACCTTGCTCTACTTTGACATGAGCATGGCACTCCCTCAGAGCATCTCTTCCACTGTGATGGTCCCCATTGCTGTCACCACCATTTTGTGCACCATAGATGAGATGGCCCTCTGTCAGCAGCAACAACTCGTCCAAGACCAGCAGCATATATGCGGTCCAACATCATACAAGGTTATGACCCTGTTGCGTGTGGTATCGCTACCATCGCGATATCTTTCATTATCGGCATGCTGATCATTACCACCTGATAGTACTGAGGATCTGAAAGCCAAAGACTGAGGTGCTGGGAACTCACAGAGGATGTCCATGATATGCTGCTTAGAATGCCTAGCAGTGTGTGTATGACTATGGTGGGTGGAAAAATAAGCGCTGACTTTGTTACATTTGAAATTTACATACCTGCAGGTGTTTTCACCTAGCATTTGCCCCTTCACCATCGTCTCTTCCTCTGACTCCTTTGTTAATGATGCTGTGCCTTAAAGGTTGCCACCGTCGACTTCAGTTTGAAGTTATACCAACAGCTTAAAATACTCCTGTCATCGACCGAGTCTGGTCTTCCTGTAGCAGTCCACCTCACCCTAATGTGGACATGAGTGAAATGTTTCTGTCTGTTACCCATACAAACATCAAGATTCTTCCCTTGTATGCCTAGAGTCACGATTTTGCGAAATGCTGTGCTATCGTACATCAATACTCCCCCATGAGCACAGAATGACCTCTAATCCGCTTGTCTCATGGCGAAAATGTGCAGGAGAAAATCCACGTTCTCAGTGTTGAAAGGTCTGGATATTTCGCACTTGCATGAGAAACAGTGTCTTTTCATATACAATGACTGGTGGTCAGAGCTGAGAGGAGAGGGAATAGGAAAGAAAGAGTAGAAGCCTTTATTCAATGTCAATGAACCGAGTACACTGGTCAAAGATGCTGCTTGCACAATATTGCGTATGGTGAGTGCCCCCCCTGCCTATGGATTGAGTGTCGGGATTGGTACTGGGGGAAGGATGTATAGTAGTCAGGCCAAATGAGACAAGAAGCAGGAAACATCTGAACTGTATAAGGAAGAGTGGTCCCACATCATACTTGATATCTTGCAGGTGCCCAAGTGCACATGGCAAAAATGGGCCTCTTGGAACACATCCAGAAGGCAGTTTGAGCAGGCTACAAAGTGATATCCATTAGAACTAGAGTACTTCAACAACAGCACCTATTACTCACCATGATCTCCTGCAACATGAGTGTCCTATCAGACCATTTCCTCCATCACCAAGGCTGTCATGTGAGGTGCTCCTCATCTATTACAACTCGTCCCCATTGAGGCCTCATTACTGTCGGTCCAAAAGCTGCAGGGTAGAGCAGGGCATATGAAATTGGTGGGGAATGACCATGATATGCCACTTGGAACTCCTAGTAACATGTCCATGTATGGAGAGGAAAAAAAGGTGCTGGTGCTTGCTGAAGAGGTGCAGGGTGGGCATGTCGATAGGAATGAGTGAGCTGCAGGACAGGGCAGAAGGAAAGATGTAGGAGGGTGTATCACTATCATGGCAACTTAGCCAAAGTGGGCCGCTGCAAGCACTGGCAGGTACGAGTCTGACTAATCTGAGGCAAATCCGCCCTTAGCACTTTCAATATATTGTGAATGTAGACTGATAATTTATCAAAGCCAGCAAGTGGCTAGTAATTATTACCTTGATTCCCAACAGCATTTCAATATAAAAATTCAAGAAAGCTTGGAGAAAGCACTCATTCACACTATATCAAGTCATCAATACACATTATTCATTCAAAAACTTGGGGATTTTCGACTCTCAAAAGCGCACTCTCGACGCCGTGCACTTGTACTTTACATTGGGCCTACTGCAGTACATGTATGTATAAAAAATCTGTCGTCTCAGTGATATGGAAGTGTTCAGTCTTGAGACAGAACAGCCTAATAGCAATGCTAAGCTTGCAGTAAGTGCTCACCAGTGATCTCCTTAGACTGCAGTCTAAACAATGAACAGTGAGTATAACAGAAAACAAAATAGTAGAGGGCTCGCTTACCATGATCGTCAGCATCAATGGTAGTAACAGGAAAAGAAGAGACAGCCCAAAGCCGGCTCACAGACCATCATAAAATGAGCATAT